GGGATTTTTGGGGTTTTATTGGGGATTTTTTTTATTATTTTGGGTTTTTTGGGTTTATTTTTGGGATTTTTGGATTCTTTCGGCTGCTCCCTCCGCCCCACGGGGATTTTTGGGGTAATTTTTGGGTTTTTTGGGGGGTTTTGGGGATTTTTTTGGGTTTTCTCGGCTGCTCCCTCCCCCCCACGGGGATTTTTGGGGTTTTTTTGTGGATTTTTGGGTTTATTTTTGGGATTTTTGGGTTTTCTCGGCTGCTCCCTCCCCCCCACGGGGATTTTTGGGTTGATTTTTGGGTTATTTCCAGTTATTTTGGGGATTTTTGGGGGGTTTTTTGGGGATTTTTGGGGTTTCATTGGGGATTTTTTAAATTATTTTGGGATTTGGGGTTTATTTTTGGGATTTTTGGCTTTTCTCGGCTGCTCCCTCCCCCCCACGGAAATTTTTGGGGTAATTTTTGTGTTTTTGGGGGGGTTTTGGGGATTTTTTTGGGTTTTCTCAGCTGCTCCCTCCCCCCCACGGGGATTTTTGGGGTTTTTTTGTGGATTTTTGGGTTTATATTTGGGATTTTTGGGTTTTCTCGGCTGCTCCCTCCCCCCCACGGGGATTTTTGGGGTTTTTTTGTGGATTTCTGGGTTTATTTTTGGGATTTTTGGGTTTTCTCGGCTGTTCCCTCCCCCCCTACGGGGATTTGTGGGTTTATTTTTGGGTTATTTCGGGTTATTTTGGGGATTTTTTGGGGTTTTTTTGGGATTTTTGGGGTTTTATTGGGGATTTCTTTTATTATTTTGGGTTTTTTGGGTTTATTTTTGGGATTTTTGGGTTTTATCGGCTGCTCCCTCCCCCCCCCAGGGAGATTTTTGGGTTGATTTTTGGGTTTTTTGGGGGGTTTTGGGGATTTTTTTGGGTTTTCTCGGCTGCTCCCTCCCCCCCAGGGAGATTTTTGGGGTTTTTTTGTGGATTTCTGGGTTTATTTTTGGGATTTTTGGGTTTTCTCGGCTGCTCCCTCCGCCCCCCACGGGGATTTTTGGGGTTTTTTGTGGATTTTTGGGGTTTCATTGGGGATTTTTTTTATTATTTTGGGTTTTTTTGGGTTTATTTTTGGGATTTTTGGGTTTTCTCGGCTGCTCCCTCCCCCCCAGGGAGATTTTTGGGTTTATTTTTGGGATTTCTGGGTTTATTTTTGGGATTTTTGGGTTTTCTCGGCTGCTCCCTCCCCCCCAGGGAGATTTTTGGGGTTTTTTTGTGGATTTTTGGGTTTATTTTTGGGATTTTTGGGTTTTATCAGCTGCTCCCTCCCCCCCAGGGAGATTTTTGGGGTTTTTTTGTGGATTTTTGGGTTTATTTTTGGGATTTTTGGGTTTTCTCGGCTGCTCCCCCCGCCCCAGGGAGATTTTTGGGTTGATTTTTGGGTTATTTCGGGGTTTTTTGGGGTTTTTCCCTGACCTGCGCCTTGTCCCCGAGCAGCCCCAGCTCCTCCATCGTGACGCCGCGCGCCGGAAGTGACGTCAGCGCGCACCGCGGGAAAAGGGGGCGGGGCCCGGAGCGCCGCCCGCGCATGCGCAGAGGGAGCGGAGCGCTCCCAGTTTGGACCAGTTTGGGGCAATTTGGGACCAGTTTGGAGCAGGGACCAATCGGAACTCTCCCAGTTTGTCCCAGTTCCCTCCCAGTATGGACCAGTAACGTCCCAAACCCCTCCCAGTATAAACCAGTAACGTCCCAG